TGTAAAAATGCAATTTTTACATCGAGTTACTCAAGTTCCCAATTGAATTGAACAACAAGAGCCAACATCAGGTCTGATCGTCAAGTTAAATGAATGAAAAGAGTTAGATAAGATTTAAGTTCTCATGCTATTTGTTTACTATTTTGTATTTAAATTTAAAAATTATCTTTTTGTTGAAAACTCTGAAAAAATGTATAAAGTTCTTTTTTTTTTTTTTATGGAAAACGTATAAAGTTTTCTTATAATAAATATGTTATAAATGTTTAGTATGTATTATTTTTAATTATTAAATGATTTTTTGATTGACTAAAAATTAAAATAACAAAATGCTATTTTACGCAAAAGCCTCGCATTTGCTCGGTCTCCACGCATTACACTATTTAGAACACTGATAAAAGTATATAAGTTTAAAATTAATGTGTAACCCTTCTATCCAACCTTTTAGTGAACTATCCTACTATAGAGGTACTCAGTGTAGCTTCTTCATCGCATATTATTTTTGTAAAATTTTAAGAACTATATACATCGATATGTTTGTACCGAATGATGATGAAGCTCATATCAAAAAAAAAAAAAGAATGATGATGAAGCACAAATGGATATTCCCCAGGGTGCATAGAGTTGCAGTAGTGACATTATGCGGAAGATTGCAAGTAGAGATATCTCATACGCTGCATGATAACCAAATTTGGGAAGCGTCCACATTAGTTCTCTTTAAGCTCTTTCTATACATTGTACCTCTCATTTTTATATGGTGTAAGTTTTCCCCTTTTCTTTCTTTAGCTCAGGTCATGCCTTGCCCTCCTAAGTTTGTATTGCATCATTATGTTATTAAGAAAAATATACCATCACTTGCTGTTTTAATTAAGAAAATCATAAATTTGCTGACTAAATTGAAAAACAGAAAGTCGATGACCAAAATGAAAGTTTCATATACGTTAGGCTACCCAAATGAAAATTTTCTAATAATTACCACTTCATTCCTGAATTAATTATGGCTAAAATACATTTGGGGCTTGGTGAAGCTTATCAACAGACAAAAACAGTCTAAATCAATTCAAACTCAAACTGGTTGGCTTGAAGAAAACTGAATGGAGGAAAAGAGGCAGCGGAATTCTTTCGGAAACCAAAACGACCTGGTTTTTTGTATATCGCCAGCAAAGGTACTTGTATTGCACCTGATTTGTGGGCTAGCTTTAGCTTCAGCTTTCTGGGCAACTCAAAATTTCTATTCGCTTCATCGCCTTTCAAATCCAGCTGAAACTCTATATCTAATCTAGGTAAGCATTGTATTTTCTTCAATTTCCAAAATTTTTAATGCATTAAATAGCTTAATACTTTTTATTTCTATTATCAGATTGTTGAAGCTTCAATTGTGATCCTACTGTATAGTCTATTTCGGCACAATTTCGATAAATGTTCCGTAAGTTTATATTTAAATTATTCTCAATTTCAACTTAATTTGTTTATTAGCTTGATACTTTTTATTTCTTATTTTTTTATTTATATTATCAAATTGTTGAAGCTTCAGTTATGATCCTACTATACAGTCTGTTTCGACACAATCCCGATAAATGTTCCGTAAGTTTATATTTAAATTATTCACAATTTCAGCTTCATTTGTTTATTTAATTATAATAAATTACTAAACCTAAACATAAATAAACAAATTAAGCTGAAATTGTGAATAATTTAAATATAAACTTACGGAACATTTATCGGGATTGTGTCGAAACAGACTGTAAACAGTATAATCACAACTGAAGCTTCCACAATCTGATAATAGAAATAAAAAATAACAAATAAAAAGTAACAAGCTATTTAATGCATTAAAAATTTTGAAAATTGAAAAAAATACAATGCTTATCCAGATTAGATGTAGAGTTTCAGCTGGATTTGAAAGGAGATGAAGCGAATAGAAATTTTGAGCTGCCCAAAAAGCTGAAGCTAAACCTAGCCCACAAATAAGGTGCAATACAAGTACATTTGCTAGCGATATATAAAAAAGCAGGTCGTTTTTGGTTTCCGAAGGATTTAAATTCCACTGCCTCTTCTTTTCCTTCTCCATTCAGTTTTCTTCAAGCCAACCAGTTTGAGTTTGAATTGATTTAGACTGTTTTAGCCATAATTAACCCAGGAATGAAATGATAATTATCAGAAAAATTTCATTTGGGTAGCCTAACATATAGAAAACTTTCATTTTGGTCACTGACTTTCTGTTTTTCCAATTTAGTCAGCAAATTTATGACTTTCTTAATTAAAACAGCAAGCGATGGTATATTTTCATTAATAACATAATGATGTAGTACAAACTTAGGAGGGGCAAGGCATGACCTGAGCTAAAGAAAGAAAATGGGAAAACTTACACCATATAAAAATGAGAAGTACAATGTATAGAAAGAGCTTAAAGAGTACTAATGTGGACGCTTCCCAAATTTGGTTATCATGCAGCGTATGAGATATCTCGTCTTGCACTCTTCAGCATAATGTCACTACTGCAACTATATGTAACTCTATGCACCCTGAGGAATATCCATTTGTGCTTCATCATCATTCGGTGCAAACATATTGATGCATAGTTCTTAAAATTTTACAAAAATAATATGCGCTGAAGAACCTACACTGCTTACCTCTATAGTAGGATAGTTCACTAAAAGGTTGGATAGAAGGGTTACACATTAATTTTAAACTTATATACTTTTATTTATGCTCTCGCTGTCACAATGCATGAATGACCTAAACATGATGATAGGCATGCGCCAAAATTGACTATATAAATCACCAAGACCCATGCATTTCCTATCATCGTGAATATGATCTCTGAATTTATCCTTACCCTAGATCCGCTACGAAGATGTGTCTACCTCGATTGATGATTTTTTGGAACCCTCTAAAGACTGATTAGAATGGATTCTCTCGCATCCAAGAAGTGGTGGCCCACTGCCTCACTTTAACTTGATGGCTCCCTTTTTTGAATTTTACCCATCCCCATAACTAAGACTTGAAGACAAGTCGTTGACTTGATATGGCTTCACTTTTATGACTTGAGCTATGCCTTGAAATGGTTTATAAGACCATGCTTTATAAAAACTTCATCACGAGAGTAGAGCAAATATACTGACTTGTTATAAAAAGAGTGCAATTACCGATTTTTTATAAGAATCTAGGCAATTGTTCTTCAATACCCAATTGCCAACTATGAATCTTCAAACTCTTCTTGAATGTTTGTAAATCTCCCGATCAATAGTATTCTTCCACAGAAAAATCTCAAATTGAGATACAATATTGGGGATTCAATTTATTTGGATGTGTAATCTTGACTCGAGAATGTTTCTCTAACCTCCCCCTTTTTAGAATGAAACACTCTTATTTGTAGACCTAAATTAAGTCTAAAATATAGTCTCAAAAGAATTGAAAAATAACTTTATCCAATTAAGATTATTTAAATTGTTGAAATTTATACTGACATTGTAATTTGGTCCTTGAATCTTCTTTCTTTTTGCAGATTGAGTCTTTCGATATTGTAATTGAGGTCCTTCAACTTTCAAAAACGAAGATGTTGGACAAGAGTGGCCTTATCCAACACCTTCAACTTCATCCCTTTCTTTTTTTCTATACCTCAACATTGTATTGAAACAACCTCAATGTAACAGAAGGCAATTTAAAGGGCTATTCCTGTAAGGTTGAATGAACTACTAAAGAGGGCATAGACAAAATTCCATAAAGGTAAGTTTTTAACTTCACAACAAAGTACACACATTCTGAAACAACTTCGCAGGGTCATTCGATATGTCCTGGAATCATACTTGAAAGACACTACAATATTAAGAGCGAGAAATGAATACAAATACTATGCATTCAAAGCATAACAGTAAGACTTTTGGAGACTTTTTGTTGGAAAATACAAAGGAAAATTCTCAAAACAAATCTCTCCTCCCACGAGAGATTCCCCCACCCCACGCCACCCCAAGAAGTCTCTAAAAGTCACGGGGTATTCAATTGAAACTTTTTGGAAGTCTCCATAAGTTACGGGGTATTCAATTTAGAATGACTTTTGGAAACTTTATAACTCATGAGACTTCTGGAGACTATTTGTTAGAACTAGTGAGGGAAACATGCGATTTACGTTAGTTGATCAATGTTGAAAATAAGTATGTGTAAATTTGGTTAATGTTTTATTTTTAAATGTATTGTGCACTTTTAAAATTTAAAAGATAGAAATGAATATGTTTTGGAATTGATCTTGGTTGATGGTTTTGTTGATCTATCATGCATGAAGGAGTTAGTTTAAAAGTTAAAATTGAAGTTGTTCTTTTAGACATTTTCTTTTAGACATTTAGGGGCTTTTCTTTTCGTATTCCAGTTATTAGTTTTGAGTTTTAGAGAAATTCATTTGTAAATGTAAAAGGTATTCACAAGTGCTTGATCGAAATTGACTTCATTGTAGTCTATTTTTTATTCTACGTACGAACATTTGAGGATTTGCCTATTCTTGGACCAAGCATTTGCTTGTACAAAAGTTTGTGTAACTAAATACGATTTAGTCCACCTCAAAGTAATTTTCTAGCTCAGTAGATAATTCGTACTATAATCATAATAACTAAATATCACCAAGCTATACAAAATAACAATGTCTACACTCTAGTGCGTCAAAATCGGTTTTCCACGTCGACAAACACCATGCAGGAGCCTAAATTATAGCTTAAAATGTTAAATGTAGTCTCATATATTATTATCCAATCAAAATACATATTCTAAAATCGTTAGCGGTTAATATGTTCGATGTACAAATTAAAACTAAAAACATCTAAGACATAAAAACAACATCGAATTGGAGAAAGGAAAAAAGAGATATGTAAACAATTTAGTGAAAACCAGACATGGCTAAAATAAAGATATTGTTCCATTAACAGTAGAATCAGAGAAACGCTGGCATGGAGCTCACCAAGTCAGAGTTGAGTGTATTTCTCCACAACATAAATAGATGTTAATGTTCGGGGTTTTGAAATTATGCAGCAAATATATGAAGCATGTGAGATTTGCAGCAAAGAATTTTCCATCTAAACTACAAGACATGTTAAACCCATTTAACCGAGCAGAAACTCTACATCACTAAAAGTATGACCTGTTGCTTTTTCCATAGACGTGAAAGAGCAGCATTACAGTCTGAAAGCTCAGAAATGATATTATTTGATATTCCAGGACGGAATTTCTTCTCACGAGGAACCCATCTCATGATTCTCATCATCCTCAGTAGCTACAAACAAAATAGAGTTACACAAATCAGCACACACAAAGTAAATAGAATTATTTCACATGCAAAGAAGTCAGGTACCTCTTTTCCTGTTGATTAAGGCAGCATTATTAATTGCATTTGGTGCTGCTATTGACATGTGGATCTGTCTTTCTGCCTGTGATAGTAATGCCACAGCTTCATCCCTTTCCTTCTTTGCCTTTTAATAATACGACATGCAGCATAATGTTGCGAAGACAAAATAGCCATTATCAGCAACCACAAACCACACCAAAACAATGCATCAAACTCTTTCCCAGGGAGAAAAAAATAGCACACATTCACTCGTAGATGAAGTCGCCAAATAAAAATCACTATCACATTTATTACCAGCATGATCCCATAATAAATGGAATTCTAAGTTCTCAATTCTATCCTCTAGCATTTTGAAAATAAAATTGATAAAATTTTACTCTAAAATTTAGAGCACTGACTTTTGGATGCACTCAATTCCAACTTAAATTCTCAATCATCAACACAACCCTACACAGAATCCCTAGTCTTTCAATAGCTTAAAAAAAATCCCATTTTATGAACCTGGCTTCACAATTTAAACCCATAAGCACACAATCAATGAGAGGAAAGGTAGCTTATTGTGCACGAGAATAGCACAGTCAGGCTTCAGCTGATCCTTACAAACAAAGGACAAGATCCTGAAATAGTACTCTGGTCCCACAGATGACGAAACAATGGCGTGATTCTCATCACAAATAATTATGGAAGTAAAGCATCAATGATGAGTATGCAACCAAATGATTTAGAAAATAATATCAATGGCCTCCGATAGAATTGTTTAGATACTTTAAGGGGCCTGAGCTGCTTGTGGACTTGCAAGACTATGATTATTCTCTAGACATGTGGAACCTGGGTTGTATGTTTGCTGGAATGGTGAGAATTTTTCTTCTAAAATTTCATGTTGTTAATGTTGTGCTATTTAATTTCTCATTTTCTTTAACATGCAGATTTTCTGGAAGGAACCTTTCTTCTATGGCCGTGACAATCAGTCAATTAGGATCAGCTTGTCAAAATAGCTAAGGTATTTTAAATTCTGGTATCAGCTGCTTTTGGCTGACAATTGAATTAGATTATCTCTGCCCCGATGAAGTTTACAATTGGGTCCTTGGAATAATATATGATTCTATAATTTCACTCTCACCCATTTTTACAAGTGACTGCCTGGAGAAACGTCATTTGAAAATGCTCCCTAAGCTTATTTTCTTTTGGATGATTTTGAGTAATTCTGGATTTGAAATCCTTGGTGAAGTCCCTGCATCATTATACAGTTGTTTATGACGGATTGAGATGCCTCTGAAGTCATTCGAGATCATCTTCATCCTTACTTGACTTCTAATTGTTTCGAAACTCTGGACATTAACATCTTTTAAAAGAAATGAATTTGGAATCAGTCCAACCTGTTATCCTCCATATCCACTAATATAAACGCAACATGAGGGAATTAGCTTTTCATTCATTTTAAGGTTATGTAAAAAGCACCTTCAAGACTCAAAGTGGATAGATGAAGCTGTTTAATGTTTTAACAATGCCTGTGTTGTACTTGAATTTGCATGTTTGGAATAAAAAATTTATGTTGGACAATGAAACCAGTTAACCCATTAGACCAAACCCACCAATCCTTTAATATTTACAAAATGAAGTGCCAAGTTTCGAACCCAAAACCTCAGCTTTCTTTAGCCGTGTTCCGCTAGATTGCCCCATTCGTTTCTTTTTCCTTGACTTTTGAAGCTTGAAATTAGTTTTCGTTTCCCTTTAGTGTCTATTTTTAATCAGGTGGTTTCTTGGCTTTTTCATCTTGATAGAAGGTGAAGTCCAGATCAAAACACAAAACACAAAATCCAAATAGCAAATCAAAGAAGCGGTCAAAAATCACACTCAAGAGAAAAGACACTGTCCCAAATCCAACAAATTCAGAATAGCAGCCCAAAATAATACAA